TTGTGGTCGCAAGTCATAACAAGAAAGCCTTAACTTATATCGCAGTTGGCCTAATTGTGGTCGCCGGTCATAACAAGAAAGCCTTTGTACCTAATATTACAAAGGGTCTGTAAAAAATGATCCATTTGGAGTGAGGGGTGATATAAGTTACAAAGGCTTTCTTGTTGACTTGCGATCACAATTAGGCCAACTGTGATATGAGTTACAAAGGCTTTGTTTTTATGACTTGCGATCACAATTAGGCCAACTGTGATATAAGTTACAAAGGCTTTCTTGTTGTGACTTGCGATCACAATAAGGCCAACTGTGATATAATTTACAAAGGCTTTCTTGTTATGACTTGCGACCACAATTAGTCCAACTGTGATGTAAGTTACAAAGTTTCTCTTGTTAGTTTCCCTCTTTTCCCGTCTACTGAGCATTTTCTATAACTTTTATTATATGCTACAGTTTTCTTGTAATTTGTTTAAATTAATATAATCTAGTAACCTTGGGTTTAGAATTTTAGTTTTCGGGTTGTATCTAAAGCGTTTTATTACTCGCAATGGCAGCAGGTTGGCTGTTTAGTTCTTCGCGCGAATTCGGTGTTTCGGCGCCGTTTGCGAGCTATCTGCCTTCTTCCTATGCTCGTCCTCCTCCTCTTCATCTCTTGTAAGAACCCACTACCTAGTGGGCACTCTTACGCAAGCCGTTTCGCACGAAACACCGCTATCGGCAAATCTGCACAATTACCAGGATCTGTGTTTTTTTTGTCGCAGTCACGGTTAGCTGCCTGATTGACTGCAATAGTCGTTACCCGGATCAGTGTAGAATGTTATCATGGGAACAATTTGCTGCCGGTCTGTCGGCTATAGTTGCTCTAAAGTTGCCGTTTTCAGATGTCGGTTCGAATTATCTCCATTTCATACACACGCATCAACTGCGTGCCAGGGCAGTGGGTTGGGCTGCAAAACTTTATATCCAGTTCTCTCGGTGACACTGTTCGAGTCGTGGTAGCATTCCTCTCACAGAACCTATACCAACTTGCATTTGTCCCGAACGTCGTAGTAGATTCAATATGACTCAGTAACCCCCC